CCTCCCCATGGTCGGAGACACATGTTGTCGCAGAATCTGATTCTGCTGCTTATTCTCAGTGTCGTCGTGTGCCTCGCCTTTTTGTTCACAGTTGCTGTGGCATTGTCGTTAACGGTGTAACGTGCAGTGGTGTTTAGTTGTTGGGCGGTGCCGTTGGCGCTGTCGCTAGGTTGAGGTTCTTCATGCAAGCTGAGCCAAACCTAAACAGTGGACGGTAAAGTCTTCGAAATCAGATCCCGAAAAGCAAAGTAAAGGAGGGCCCATACTAAGAAACCCGAGCATTAGACGTTCCGATTTGTTCTTTGTGAAGTCGGAGACCCGAAGCCTCAATAAACCCGCGATGGCCTGGGCAGTGCGGCCTGACGCCTGAGCCTTACCCAAAACAAGGAGTGATGACGTTCACCAACCATAAACTTTCAACTCTCAAAGCTTTGCAATGAGCCATAAAGCCCGACCCCGATGCCAGACCCTGAACCACGAGGACATACACAGTGGTTTTCTCCATTTTCCCATTCGGATTGGTGATGCCGATTTTCGCGGCCTGGGACCCAGTGGACGTGTGGGTGCGATGGAGGCAGTGACGGGCTATATTACAATATCCCCTTCGGTCCCTTGAGAATTTGGGGCTTTCCTGTCCGGCATGGATTAACGGTTTAGGGCACAGACGAGGCTTCGGAGGGTTGGGGCTGAAGCGCAGTGGAATTTACTGTGTACGACGTCTTGATCCACCTGCTGCCTCAAAGGCGGGAACTACTTGCTGTACTTAGGTCAGTATTGGGGTTGCAGCAGACCTTCACCCCTGCTTATGAGCAGCTGCCCTAAACGAAAAAGATCTTCCAACAGCCCATAAACCCTGTACCTCAACTTCTCATCAGCAAAATTGAGAGCTTAATCGGCAAACAATAAACTCTAAAGTCCTACAAAGCCATCTGTAAATCTAGAAACGCTGCACTGAAACCTAAACCCCGAATCCCGAAAAGGGGCTTTAAACAAATGTGAACCAAACTAGTCATACTTGCCAACTAACGTTAATTATAAGCAACTTGCTAGTAAAACCCTAAACTCTAAACCATAAACCCTAAACGCGAAGCTTCATGCAGGCCGTACAACATCCAGGCTGAGCTCCTTTGGCGGGGGACGTTCGCCACTTTTTTCCTGGCGTTCTTTCCTTACGGCGGCAAACCCAAAGGCTATAGTATAATAGGCCCCAAAACCCTATGCTAACTATCACGGCCCCGAATATTAGACTAATTATTAGACTGAAAGAAACTGTCGGTGCCTTCAGAGCCCTGCCTAAATCCTAAATGTCGGTGCCTTCGGGGCTCATGTTTTCTTATGCAGGGTCTGCTTGTGCAGAAGGGTATTTTCCGTGGTCACTCTTCAACAAGACCTGTGGAACGACCCTCGTAGTTCAGTTCCCTCGATCTGAAACCAAGCACATTGCAGCACCTGACACTGCTGGCGGAGTCAGTCCCTCTACAGAATTATATTCCTGATCATGGACACTGATGGCTAGTGCAGACCCAACAGATCTAAGGAATTGTGCCGGCCGACGGCAACGATAATTTGGAGCACTTGCTCGAGATTTCCATCTTCATGGCAATCCGGCAGCATGTTGGGCTGATTGTTGTGTTTATGGGATTACAGGGTCTGCTAGGGTTTGCGGACCCTAAGCCCTAGAAGCCCCAAGCTTTCGACCTCCGATCCTTCTCGCGTTTTGGGTTTAGATTTCTCGGCACTCACCGCGGATTGTTCAGGCGAGACACTTCTCCATGCGTGGCGATCCACTAGCCTTCTGTTTACTTGAGGGGTCATAACCTACATAACATTTTGTTGGGTTTGCGGCTACAGGCTGGTCTGAGTGGTGGAAAGTCAACGACCGACTTGGTGTACACAAAGCAAACCGTCCAAACATTGGCTGTTTAGGGTGTTGGGGTTTGGGTTTTTTAAGACTTTAGGGTTTAGGGTGTTGCGTTCAGAGATGGGTGGCTTGCTGTAGGGCCACGCTGGTGGGCTTGAGAAGAACTCAAACGACGCAAGCAGTCCCTAGGTTTCATGTGCTAAACCCTAAACCCAGGCCCCTGCGTTCGGGTTGAAGCAGTTTCGGGTTTCAGGGTTTAGAGTTTGCATGTCTCACGGGTTCAATCTTTCCGGGCACTGCTGGGGAAAGCAAAGGAGACTTTGCCGCCTTCCCTCTCTTCCCTGCTTTGTCCGCTGATGGTTTTTCGCTCCATGCAAAACGGAAACTAATAACATTACACACTTTTTAAGCTCTCCGAAGGTTCTTGGCTTGACCAACTGCTTCGTTGGGAGGAAAGTTTGGTTCTGAGCTGCTCAGGAGCGCCCGGTACAAGACTGGGTTTTCAGGCAAAGCCCTGTTGGACTCTCGAAAGACCCGAGGCCGGCAGGGCTGTCCACTTCGCAGGCATTGCATCCTAAATTGGGTGCCTTGCATGATAGAGGAGCCATGGAGAAGTGCTCGTCAGGCAGCCGGCTTTGGACAAAAAGACGCAACGGTGCATTTCCAACTACATGCATACTAGCCCCAAATCCTAAACATTAACCCTAAACCGCAAGAAAACCCTAAACCCTACCCCAAACCTACAAGGGGTTGCGGGTTTAAGGCGGTTTAAGGGTTTCTGGTTCCAGGCTTCTTCTATTTCCGATGTCGTTCCCCAGCCTGTCTCAAGCAGGATTCCGGCGGAACGGGTTT